CGGTGTCAGCAGGCACCAGGGATAACAGAAAAATGAGCTGGTCGCCCGTCCAGGCTTCGAGGTCCCCACCGCTGAGGCAAACTAAGATGTATTGCTTTGACGGGGAGGGTTCGCAACAAAGCGCATGGCGCGAAGCGCCAATGCAGTCTTGTGTGCACATATATATATATATACACATAACTTTATGCATTTGTTTATAGGAGGGGGGGAGCGATGGGGATCGGCGAGCCGCGTGTGTGTGTGTGTGTGTGTGTGTGTGTGTGTGTGTCTCTCTCTCTCTCTCTCTTTGTGTGTGTGTGTGTGTCCAGTTGACTTTTGCTTTGGGGGCCTTGCGCCTGGGCCTCTGCCCTCGAAGCTCTTCAAGACACGTGGGCTCTGCGCCACGGCGAGAGCCCACGTTTCCGAAAACGACCGTCCTGCATTCCGTGCACAGTGTTAGGACTGGCAAGTTTTTCAGTGTTGGGAGTGCCAAGCTCCTCCTTCTCCTCCTCCTCGTCCTCCTCCTCCTCCTCCTGCTCCTCCTCCTCTTCTCTTCCTCCTCCCCCTCCTCCTCCTTCTCCTCCTTCTCCTCCTCCTCTTCTCCCCCCTGACATCCGCGGATATGAATCCACGGCGCGGAGGTGAGGAACTCTCGGGCGAAGGTCTCGGCCAGCCCTGGCGACAAGCCTAGTGGTGCGACAGGCAGGAATTGTTGACAGCCCTCGCAAAAAAGGTTACCTGGCAAGCAGCAAGGGTGAAGGGCGGGACAAGGGTGAAGCACGGTAGGACTCTTCAAAGTTTTTTCTGCCTTAGTGACCCCCCCGAGCGAAGCGCAGCCAGGGAGCGAGGAGGAGGGCTGGATCAGGTCTGCTGCGTGGACGTCCTGATCCACTATCCCCCTGGCCGCCGCCGGGAACCGCCCGAGCCCCCGCGCCCCCGCTTCCCCCTTCCTCCCATCGTTCTGCTAGGAGGAGGAGGAGGGGGAGGAGGAGGAGGAGGAGGAACAAGAGGAGGAGGAACACGAGGAGGAGGAGGACGAGGAAGAGGACGAGGAGGAGGAGTAGGAGGAGGAGGACGAATAATAATAATAACAGTAATCGTAATAGTAGTAATACTAGTAATAATAGTACTAGTAATACTAACCACAAGAAGACTAACACACATACGAAGAATAAACATCATAATAATATGTCTAAGAAGAAAACGAGGAATAGCACAACGAAGCCGGATATTTTTAATAACAAGAGTAGTATTAATAATACGCAGAGGAATGCTACACATAAGAAGAATCCATATACGAAGAAACATCCTACTATTACTCAGAAGAAGAATGCTGTTCCTAATAACAAAAATAACATATTCATCATAATAAGAAGAAACATGGTAGCAATCACAATCACAAGAAGAAGGCGAATACTACTATTATCAATACTACTAATATTACAAATCGTAATAAGCAGAATCTTATTATCAACGATAGTAAGGAATACTATTAAGAAGAAGAGTCATACGAACAATAAGGCGAAAACTAAGAACAACAATACGAATAGTAACGAGACGACGGTTAATAATAGTACTAATATTAATAAGAAGCGTCAACATATTAGTAATAACAATATTACTATACGATTAATGCTAATAAGAGGAATAGTAAGAATAAGCAACAAAAACAGCATCAATACTATTACTACTACTAGTAGCAGTAGTAATCGTACTAATCATAATAATAAGAGGAATTCGAATAATAGTAAGAATCATTATTATGATAAGAATATTAGTAAGAATAATCATGCGAATAGTAAGAATACTAAGACTAATAAGAGTAAACATAATTGTAATAGTAAGAGCATGAATAATCAACATACGAATAATAATAATATTATTAATAAAATAAATAAAAAATGATAATAATAATAGTATGAAGAAAAATAAGCATAATCATATTAATGAAAGACTACTACTAAGAATCAGAAGAAGAATACTAATAGTAATCGGAGGCGAGGGGGTGAGATCGAAGTGGAACAGAGAGCCCCCCTACCGGGAAATGGGTTTCGGTTTCGTGTTCGTGCGTGCCGTGCGTGCGGGCGAGGCGAAGCTGCGTGGGCGGGCGAGAAGAAAGTCTCCTCCGGCTGAGGCGCGGCCGGACCAAATGATTCTTTTCCGGGGGCCGGTGGCCCGCGGTGTCCCGCCGGTGTCCCGCCTCCGGCTGAGGCGCGGCCGGACCAAATGATTCCTCTCCGGGGGCCGGTGGCCCGCGGTGTCCCGCTGGTGTCCCGCCGGTGTCCCGCCAGTGTCCCGTCGGTGTCCCGATGATGATGATGATGTCGATGATGTCGATGATGATGATGGTGATGGTGGCTATGATGATGGTGTCCCGATGATGATGATGATAATGATGATGATGATGATGATGATGATGTTGACGTTGTTGTTGATGATGATTATGATGATGATGATGGGGTTGGTGGTGATGATGATGGTGTCCCGATGATGATGATGTTGATGATGATGGTGCTGATGA